TTACGACTGAATCGACTTTTCAATTCTCTATCCAACGATGCCAAAACGAATTCTGTGGCTCGAACGGTTCTTGAGAAACTTCGAAAAAAGCAGCGCCATGTTCAAGTGGATTTTGCAACTGAAAAAAAAACCACGCAAATCTAAAACTTCTTGAATTCAAGCATTTTTCTTATCGATGGTTCACTTTCTTAAAGGGCCATTTAGTTCTCTTTGGAATGATGTAAAAACGAGCGTTCTTGCTCATTTTGCTTCCGAGAAACAATGCAAAACGGGACGGAAAACATGAAATTTTGCAATAATCTTACGCCACCCTTGCAGAAAACGACGATAATTTTTCTAATTTCATAGACAACAGAAGACTGTATTTTTTAACCCCCCCCCCCTGAATTTAAAGCTGGATCCGCCCCTGGTGTTAGACAGTGTTTTTATTTCTAAATAGATAAAATAAAATAATGCACCCTGTGTGTTTGGGAGATATTAATAATGTATAGGCAATTAATGAAGCTGCGGCATGTGCGAGGCATATTTTACACAAGTTGTCCATTCAACTGTGGATAATTATTCGTCTGGTCTAAGCCAGAATAGGCAGCAAACCCTTGTTAAATTTAATTTAAGTTGTCGAGCCAGTGACCGAATTATGAACATTTCACCATCTGAAAGCCTGATTTATTTGGTTTTAGTTGATATTTGTTCACAAATTATTTGCTTTATTATGGAAGCAAGGGTGAATTCTGGGGTTGTTTTACGTGTTTAACGTGTGCGTTTTGAGTTTGGGAATTTAGCAAAACTTAAGGCTTTAAACAGCTGTGAAATTGAAACTTTTTCCGGGAAATCAATTTTCTTTGGAATATAGGCGAGTCATTTTCCACCCGGTCTCGAACACCGGATTTCAGCAGGTTTCTAGTGCACGCTTGCGCCCTTCGCAATTTCCTTCTACAGCTCAATACCATTGTAGCATTTTCCTTAAATAAATTTATTCCCATTTCCCTGCCGCTTTCGGTTTCTTTTCCATTCGCCAGCTGAAATTATTCTCTTGTTTTTCGTTTTTAACGGGAAATTTCACCGAGCACTTATGCTGGCAGAACGATATTGATCATCGTTGTTATTTCCATCTCCCTATTAAATTGAATCCTGATTTTAATGGATTTCGCATCATAAATATCATCGGCAAATTTCGAGCGCAGATTGCGATATCCATGCAGGTTTTTAGCATTGAAATTGCATGCCAAATTTAATAATATGAGATAAATCACGTGCAGTTAGATCCGGAGATCTTGGTGGCCACCACAACAGTTGCTTTTTTCCGCGGTATAGAAAATGATGAAATTGGCGTCCGTTGGAGCGCTAATAATAACTCATCGCMTCGCCGATCTTGAGGAAATTTCAATTTGAAATTGCCCCCATTAGTGTCGATTAATTTAGCGCCTTAATTAACATAGTAACATTAATTAGGAGCATYTGGGGGCGCCTCGGGGGACCGGTAACCTCGATGGCGTGCTCGGGGGGTTTTTCTCTAGCGTAAGCCACGCTCATAAATAATGCGCCGAGGTGACATTCATAAAATATGATACTGTTAACTTAAGGAGTTGTTTTATGGGTCTTGGACCGGGAAAAAAACAGACTCAAATAGCATTTTGGGGATTTTGGCACGGGCTCTGTTGCAGGATTAGACCGTCTCTAGGAAGGCATTAACTGAATACATGTAGGAGTCAGCCTATGACCCAATAAAGTGCGGTAGTGTATTTTATTCAAGGGGGG